CTCGAGAGCTTTAAGACATGTAAGTTGTTACCTCATTAAAAATATACAGTAGTTTTCAGACTACAAGGCACACCAGATTATAAGGCACAGTATCAGTAATGTTGAATTCTCTTGTCTATTTTCATACATAAAGCGCACCAGAGTACAAGGCGCATTAAGCGAAACAAACGGACGACACTTGAGACTGATCCTTTAGCCCAGGCGTCCACGATCCATTGGCATTTTGTCGGACTAAGGCTATGTTTACACTGAAACGAATCACTGTATCGCCGTATTGGAAACGATTTACATTCAGACACGTCGTTTCTGTGTCTGCAAGCCTTCCCTATCCACACAGCTTTGAGTGTATTTGTGTACGTTTTACAGAAACAAAACTTAATTTGCATAAACTAAGCATTCAAAAAACAACTCGCTGTTGAGCGCTTATGCAGTTCATCTTCTGTCGAGCTAAAGGACACGACTCAGTGGAATATATGTGTTCTTTCTGTGACAGAGGGGTTTTCTGCTGATGGTGAGTCTGTTCTTTGTGTATGTCGTGTTGGAGATGGTTCATATTAAACTTTTCAGGGATTATACGTCTGCAGGTCATACACACAGACCTTATATATGAATGAACATATATTCCAGACTCTTAGCGTTTGACGGTGAATTAATTTGTGGGAGCTGGTGGCACCACATCGTTCCGTCTCTGGAGCCGTTTTCAATTGGATTAGTGTGGACGAACACTGCATCTGCAATGAAAAGGATTCAAACACGTACTAGTGTGGACGGGGTCTAAAGGACATGACTCCGCGAGGCTCCTGACTTAACTACAGTAGCCGTAATGGTCCAACAATCCATTAAGTGGTGCAGCTTCGTAACTTACAAAAGTCGTACTAAAACATTTTGACAGATTTCTGAGCATCGTGTACCACATAAAAATCGGTTTGTGGTCAGTAAACACAACCAGAATTTATACATAAAGTGCACTGTCGATTTTTGAGAAAATTAAAGGATTTTAAGTGCACCTTATAGTCCGAAAAATACGGTATCTGGAGTTGTGTTTTGTTTCATTCACACGTTTGAGTAACCCTGTATTAACGTGTTAGTCTACATTTCCAAAGCTGAAAATGCTCTGTTCCACCTTGTGATGTCATGAAGCGGTAGTTTTCAAGCCCCATTTGTAATTATCCAAATGATTCGAGTGAAGGTGTGTATAGCTTAAAGTTGTTAGGCTGTTGATGCTTGTAACACATTTTATATATTTAATGGTGTTTGGTACAGTGTGAACTTTATTCCAAGTGCATTTGACCCTTCCTACTACCAGTTCTGCTGCGGAAACTGCTAGATGCACTGAACTACTACCTTGAGAGATCAAATATGTCAAAATGTTAAACTAGGATCTTGGATATGAATACATGAGGTGAATTATTATCTTATTGTCAACATAATTTACAATAAAAAGTACAACCAGTGCACAAGTGTATGACAGATACTTTGCAAAACCTTCCAACCTTTTCTCGTGCCAGTATTGTTCCCTTCTGTTTTCCATGTATCCTCCTCATTAACCTGCACCCGTAGCCTTCAGCCAGGACCTCCAGAGCTCCCCCTCTTGTTGTAGTTTTTCTCCCCCAGCTCAGAGCATCACCGGGCGGGCACTGACAAGCACTAAGTCCCTCATTATCCAGCGTGAGAGGGGCCGGAGCGAAGACAACACACGAGGAGGCAGGAGACGGGAGAACTGCACCACAAATTGCCCGGGAGCTCATTGAAATGCATGAAGCAGGTCCAGCTATAGACTCTGCCACTGCTGCTGCTGCGGACTGTGCGGGAGGATGGAGGGGAGGAGCGGGGGATTTCTGCGATGTGAGAAAAAGACGTAAAGGCGGGTTTCAATGCAATGTGTCACTGTGAAGAGAGGGAGACAGAGAGAGAAGCAGAGGGAGAGAAAAAGAAAGAAACAGATAGAGAAAAGGGTAGAGAAAGAGAGACAAAAAGAGACAGAGACAAAGAGCGAGATGTACAGCGAGAGAGACAGAGAGAAGCAAAGACGTAGAGAGATAGAGAGAGAGAGCCATAGAGAGAGAAAGACAAAGAGAGTGAGAGAGGGGTAGAGAGAGAGACAAAGAGAGAGACAGAGCGAGTGAGGTAGAGTAAAAGAGAGAGGTAGAGAGAGAAAGATAGAGACAGACAGCCAACAGAGAGGAAGAAAGGTCTAGAGAGAGAGAAAGAGAGCGGGTCAGAGAGGGAGAGAGACAGACAGAGAAAGAGAGAGACAGACAGAGGGAAGGAAAGGTAGAGAGAGAAAGAGAGAGACAAAAGGAGAGGGGTAGAGAGAGACAGACAGAGAGATAGAGACAGAGATGTAGAGAGAGACAGAGAGTGAGAGGTCATGGAAGAGAGAAAGGTAAAGAGATAGAAAAACAGAAAGAGAGCGAGAGACAGAGAAAGGTGGAGAGACAGGCAAACAGACAGAGGTAGAGAGGGTGAGAGAAAGGTAGAGAGAGAGAAAGAGAGGGGTAGAGAGAGGGGGAGACGAAAAGAGAAAGAGACAAAGAGAGAGGGGTAGAGAGAGAAACAGAGAGAGAGAGGTAAAGAGGTAGTGAGAGAGACAGACAGAGATGTAGAGAGAGACAGAGAGGGCTAGAGAGAGAGAGACAAAGAGAGAGAGAGACAAAGAGTGAGAGGTCATGGAAGAGAGAAAGGTAAAGAGATAGAAAAACAGAAAGAGAGCGAGAGAGAGAGAGAGAGGTCGAAATACAGCGAGAGACAGAGAAAGGTAGAGAGACAGGCAAACAGACAGAGGTGGAGAGGGTGAGAGAAAGGTAGAGAGAGAGAAAGAGAGGGGTAGAGAGAGAGGGAGACGAAAAGAGAAAGAGACAAAGAGAGAGGGGTAGAGAGAGAAACAGACAGAGATGTAGAGAGAGACAGAGAGGGCTAGAGAGAGAGAGAGAGACAAAAAGAGAGAGAGACAAAGAGAGAGAGGTCAAGGAGGAGAGAGAGAGAGGTAGAGAGAGAGACAGACATAGATGTAAAGAGAGACAGAGAGGGTTAGAGAGAGAGAGAGAGAGACAAAAAGAGAGAGAGACAAAGAGAGAGAGGTCAAGGAGGAGAGAGAGAGAGGTAGAGAGAGAGACAGACAGAGATGTAGAGAGAGACAGAGAGGGCTAGAGAGAGAGAGAGAGAGAGACAAAAAGAGAGAGAGACAAAGAGAGAGAGGTCAAGGAGGAGAGAGAGAGAGGTAGAGAGATAGAATGACAGAAAGAGAGTGAGAGAGAGAGAGAGGGAGAAATACAGCAAGAGACAGATAAAGGTAGAGAGAGAGACAGAGAGAGACAGGGAGAGCAAGAGGGAGAAAAAGGTAGAGAGAGAGAGAGACAGAGAAAGGTAGAGGTAGAAAGAGAGCGAGAGAGAGAAGTAAAACTACAGAGAGAGACAGAGAGATAGAGAGAGGATGAGAGGGAGAGAGACAAAGGAGTACAGAGACACAGAGAGACAGAGAGAGAAAGGTAGAGAAACAGACAGAGAGAGTAGAAAGAGAGTTAAAGGGGGAGAGAGGGAGTCTGCTGGAGCTTTTGGAATGACCTGACATTTGAATCTGCTTTTTATATCGTGAGGATGACATTTATTTCCTTGTTTATTTGGTTGTTTTTGGCAGGAATCTATTACATTTGAAAGCTTTGTCCAGTGTAACGGAGAAAACCGACTCCAGCCGCGCACAGTAGACACATACTTTATAATCCAATCAATAATCAGCAATGGTGTCCCCCTGGTGGCCACACGCAGACATTACACCCTATTTTCTCCACGCATTCCTCTCTCTGCACATGTTATAATCATTAAAGCCTCACCAGATTTTAAAGCTATTAGCGGTAAACAGTTTATCCCTGTGTGTGTGTGTGTGTGTGTGTGTTCAGACCTGACACAGACTGAACACTGGTCCCAGCTCTTCCATAAGCTTCATGTAACCGGATTAAAGCAGATGTGTGTGTGATAACAAGCTTACACTGATGTTCTGACACTGACTGTGGCGAGATGTTCATGTTAAACCCATTAGGATCAGGAAATACAAGAAACAGGCCAAAAAAACATCACGGAAATACAGCGGAGATCCAGATGTGGAGACAGAATAAGAAAACATCATCTATAAAAATGTGATATGATGATATTCAGGCACAGGACGCTTTACAATCAAATCACATTTAGGATTCAACGGTTTGAGTAGTTATGGTTCAGTATTTGTGATCTCTCTTATGTGAAATTCCACTTTTAAAATCATCTTATTCTACAGAGATTTGATTAAATTGTTAAGTTATGTAAGTTAGTGTGCTGTTTTACAGAATGACATATAGTTTTGGTTTCTATCTATCAATAAATCAATTATCGAGGGGTAACCGCTGACCTTAAAAAAGAAGACTGGACATAATTAACAAAAAAAAAAAAAATAAAAATCTAATGTCACTTCAGAGCCCCACAGTTCAAAAGTGCTGGATGCAAACAAATAAACAAATAAACCAAATAAATAAAAAATCTATAATATAACTGCCACGAAGAAATGTTTTTCACATTCATGTGGAGCAGTTCCCACCCAAAGTTCAGCAAAGTTCATGCTGATGCAAAATGCAAGATAAAAAGCAAAAAAAAATCAATGAAAAACAAATAAAAAATTCCTGGCCTTGCACATAAACCTATTAACAGCAGAACTTGTGCAGAAGGCCAGTATCCACACAATAGACCAAAGACAACCCTATGAGTAGAGCTCCCCATTAAATATCTCTTAGCTCCTCCCCTGACGCAACCAATTAACAAAACATTGGGTTTTAAGATTTAATTTAGCAAAAACTGTACTCATAACCATAAATTGTATATTAACCATAAATGTATATAACCATAAATTGTATATTAACATAGTCTAATCAAAATGATTCAAACAACCATAAACCCAATAAATCAGGGAATAACCACACAAATGATCAATAATTTAGTTTAGTTTAATCCGTGGTCACATGATGTCCAATAAGAGCTATTTACAGCGCGACCAGGAAGTGCTCCGGGTTGACACGTGAACCAAAGACCCGCGTGGAGACGGGAACAGGTACGGGGCGTGTGCACCTGCGGGAGAACAGAGTCCAGGCAGCGAAGAAAGTTTCTGCGGGTACATTAGCGCGGGACACAAGTGCAGGACCGCGAGGAAACAGTTTACCGAAGATTTTTCTCCGCAAAACAAGCGGAGCGCCCTGCGTGTTTCACCGGCGGAGGCGCGCGGGACTGTCCGGCTGGAGAAAGAGACGCACCGAGCCTGGAATGGTGTGTGGTATTAAAAAAAATCTATATTTAAATACAAGATCTTGAAAAACACTTATTCTTCACCAACCAGTAACTTGGCCTGGTTGGGACACTTCTTAGTTTCCATGGGGATAGATAATTTTAATGCCATACTACTGAACATGCGGGTAAAACAATGACATCATCTCCAAGTTACACAGTGAAGGGCCCGTATTATGCTGTTTTCTCATCCACAGTGTGTTATAATGTTGTTTCCTCAACACAAGTTGGAACAGAACATTTTGAGCTTTGAGATGTAAACAGACTCGTAATAAAGTGTTACTCAAACATGTGTGAATGAAACAAAACACAACTCAAGGCATGTTTTTAATTCCCTAACATTATTATAACATGGCATAAACCTCACAAGAGTCAGTTTTGTGTAACATAGGACCTTTAAAATTGCAATCCATCCTACTGTAGCAACAAACTAAAAAAATCACATCAACCTTAGACCCATATTTTCATAAAAACAACCTTTCTTCTGTGTACTTGTGTCATATTGTTATGTCCTTACTTACCCCATAAAACACAGAACCCTCACGTGTATTTATTTATGTATGTGTGTGTGTTTAGGAGCAGTGGAGCTTGATTCATCCTCTCAGAGACAGACAGTCTGTGATCTCCATCAACTCTAACAACTCTCCCCGTGCCCAGTGGAGCCCCCCGCTGTCAGCCCTGAAGAACTACGGCGTCCCCCTGTGGAGCCATCAATCTCAAACAAGCAACAAGTCCACTCCTGTTCATCCATCTCCTCTGCAAAGGTGCACTGTGAAATCAGTTTTTACTACTCAGTTACGTAAACTTGTACTTTTCAGAGTACTTTTCTATCACTATACTTTACCCACTACTTCAGTTATATTTTTTATTGAAGTAACAGTACTCTTACTAGATTAAAAGTTTTGTTTTTTTTACAAGTCTACAAGTGACAAAAGCTTATGCTGACAATATGAAATTCTTTTAAATATTTGAGTTTCTTGCACTGCTCCTTCAGATATAATTTAGTTTGTCTTATTTTTGTGTCTGTCCTTTGATGTTACATACTCTTTAAGCTTAACCCAAATACTTTTTACTTTTATTTTTGAGTCATTTCTTCGACTGCCACTTTGTACTTCAACTTGAGTAATATTATTTTCAAGAAACTGAGCTCTTAATTGAGTTTCTGGATACTCTGGTCCTAGATGAGGTGCTGTGGTTTGGCTGTATATTTTACACGACTCAAATGCAGGAGCTGGAGAGGCAGTAAAAGTCACGGACTGTTCCAAGGAATATTATGAACGATACTGATCATGTCCACATTTTATAAGACAATTTGAGTGTTCACGCAATTACCCCGAGTTATCTTTACCCCAAAATCATTCTTTATTGTAAGAACCGTTAACATTTACTTATAATATATTCTTGCAAAGAGTAAACTTTTTCCTTATTTTAATTGTTACTAAAAACATATTTTATCAATCAGCGTATTCCCTTGCTTTTAAAAGTGCACTGCTCAACTTTCTGGTGAAGGGTTTGCCACCTGCTTGTCTCCATGGAAATGTTATTGCTTTGTCTAGAAAGTTCCACAGTATAGATTAAACCTACTGTTTATCATGAGGGAGACAAGCAGGTTACAGCACTACGCTATATTACAGTTCACATCTGTGGAGAGTCGCCCCTATTCACAGAAAGAATGTTTGTATTTCTGAGCAATAGAAACACTCCTAATGAATAAATGCTCGGTGGATACGGTTAATATCATACTAGAGTCCAGTGTTTTCCAAACATTTTCTCTTGCGACCCATATTGTAAAAGTCACTGTTACGACCCAGCTCGTTTGGGGTGAGGGAAGTAACAAAAATAAAACCAAGATGTAAAATGGAATAAATTAAGTAATGTTTAATTAACAGGAATGTAAAGGTAAATTAACAAAACACTAAAAATATACAGAAAACAACCTAAACTAAGAAACAGAACAACAGAATAAACAGAGTTTTGTGCCAGAAAAGGGGTCACGCAGGCTTACACAAAAACAAGTGGTAAAACTTAGGGACACACACTAAACTAAAACACAAGTTCCCCAAATTAAACCACATAAACCCACAAACAGAATCGAGTGACCAAATCAAAAAAGGCACTAAACTACACACAAACACAAACACAAAACAAAATGGCAGACTGGCCACCAAGGCCAGCAGCCCCGAACAGGTGCTGGCAATCTCCTTAAATAGGGGGGAGGTGGCTGCAGGTGAAGTGGGCGTGGACTTGCCCCACCAATCACAGACCAGGGCTCGTGCAGCAGGAATCAAGAGAACTCTGCAGAAATATTACAACTAAGGCCTGGGGCTGTAACAGTCACAAACCTTCACGACACAAGTCAACAGATATTATTCGTAAATCACAAAATAAAGGTGGATTTGACCATTACTGAACATTAATGAGGATATTTTATTGTTGACTCTCTGAACAATTAGTATTACTCAAGTTTTAAACAATGAAAAATAGTCACTGAACCAACAATTGAAGGATCCATAAGTCGCCTATTTGGACATTAAATGTAGCTTGTTTCTTTTTCTTTTCAACATTCAGTTGGACCTGCAATATTGGAACAAATAATTACAAAAAGATTAGAAATGATACAAAACATGTCTTAACATTTCAACATTTCAATGAGGTAGGTGGGCCTGTCTGCGTTTTTTTTTTAGCGTGTTCCAGTTAGGGTGCAGAAGGAGAGCGCAGCAGCAGATCAAGTGCAGTGTTCAGTCTGTTTCTGTGCTTTGTCTTCATTTTTGTGAGCACAGAAAATCCCAACTCACACATGTATGTAGTAGTGAAACGAATAAGCATAGAAATGTGGCCCTACTAAGGACAAGATATTCTGAAGAAATGCTCATCTAGATTGACAATAAGTTCACAAATCCATGTATAAAACTGTTCCAACATGTAGACTGTGACAAGGCGACCCAAAAAAAAAAAATCTCTTGCGATCCAGTCTTCGGGAAACAATACTATAGAACACAGGTGTCAAACATAAGGCCCGGGGGCCAGATCCGGCCCTCCAAGACCTTTAATCTGGCCCTTGGCTGATTTTCAACTTAAATATTTCAATTAAAATATTGTTAATTTTCTGTGGTGTTTATCACAGCAGCGTCTCCAGCGTCTCTGTACGTGGCCCCTCCCACCAGAGCAGCACAAATGAAGACTTGCTCTTTCCAAACGCTCTTAAAGGACGATCGTTTTGACTGTTGACCGTGACACCCTCATCAACAAAATGTCAAAAATGAGAAAACTGGACGCAGAGTGCAGGATTTTCCAAGAAAAATTAACTTATTCCTATTTACATACAAGTTAATGTTAAAATATTGTGTTGAAATTGCATTTTTCTTAAAGTTTCAGGTTCCTCATAATAATATAATATTTTGTAAAAGAAAGAGTTCATCAATTAAAAAAGATTTCTGTAATAGATTTGCATTTCTCTGCACAAATATTTGAACTTATTGTTATTTTTGAGGTTTATATTCCATGAGTTTTCTGATCCGGCCCCTTTGAGATCAAAGTAGGTTGGATATGGCCCCCGAACCAAAATGAGTTTGACACCCCTGCTATAGAACATTCCAGGGAAAGCATCTCCGTGGAGAAGAGCAGGTAGCGGACCCTCCACCAGAAAAGTAAAAAAAATGCATCTTTAATGTTTTGTCCAATTACCGGTACATGAACTTCAAATTATAAATCAGAGTTAGGGATGGGAATGATTAGACGGTTAATCGATAATTGATCATTAAGAATTTCATCGATTACGTTCATTTTAACTGACAAACCGAATGTAAGTTGCTTGAATGTAGGTTGGATGATCATTTTAATATAAATACGTTAATGATTAATCGATAATCGATCATTAATTCTTCCGACGATCTATTAAAGGTTGTATAGAGGATTTTTTAAGGGAAGAGAAATACAGCGACAGTCCTTTTTCAAATGTTGTGCATGAGTGACACCACCTTCCTCCTCCACAGCTCCTTCAGTAGAAACATCTCCTCCTCCCGCCTCTTTACGCTAGAAATCACGTTTTTTTTTACAGCCAGTGCACGTTCAGAATTACCGTTGAAGTGACCTGTATAGAAATAATTTAGCGACCGACACGTCAGTTTTTAGACCCTTTGTCTGCTTCATTCGCGCAATCGCTGGACGAGATCTCCAAGAATCACCTCAGTTTGGCTTCGTTTCATTTCCCCTTCTCTTCTTCTCTCAGCGACATCAAAAACTGATTTTCTCTTGCGGCGAACCGGTCGTGGATTCTCGTCCACCATCTCAACAAACTTTGTGATAACTGTGAGGAACCTACAGTTTAAAAAAGCCTTTAAGAACCACTGCGTAAACCACGTAATCCCACTCGCCGCCGATGAGTCAGTTACACTCTAGACACGTAGGGAGTTTGATTGACAACCTAACAGCCAATAGAAAATGGGGCAGCCTCGTTATCTATTGGCTGATGTTTGTCTGGCCTCAACACGTCCACAGTTGATCGATTTTTATTCTTTTTTTTTTTTTTTTGGTCGTAATTACAAAGCTGCTGCATCTCTGTAATGGTATTTTAAACTTTCATTGACAATTTGAAACTAAAAAAAATCCTCCATACAACCTTTAAGAAAATTTCATCGTATGCCCATCCCTAATCAGAGTAGTACTTTTCACAAATACTTTTTTACTGTTACTAGAGTAATTTCTTAAACCACCACATTGTTCTGTTTAATACAATAAACATACAAGTTACTGTATATTTTTTTTAATTTTAACATTCAGTGTATTTGACCAAATGGCTGTATATGAGATTTTGAATACTTACACAATTTACTTGCAAGTCCTTCACTGTCCACTAGATGTCAGCGTAACCTCACAGCAGACACACACTGCTGTTTGTATCCGTTTCTATTTCTCCTCTGCCAACATTAACCAGCGTGACTTCTCTATAATCATTGACAGAACCATAAAACAGCACATTATAGACACCATTTATCCTAATACTGTTTTTATGAGCTTTGTAGGTAAACCGCACACAAGGTTACACTGTCCTTATGTTCCCCTGACTCAGCAGAGGTGAAGCCCACGGAAATACACACATTATAGCAAATTACCCTTCTCCATATCCTCCACATATGAATCACCGTCCTCCTACTGCCAAAAATTACAGTTAGACTTTCAAAGCCTCGACATAAATGCTGTTTTCTCTGTCCTTTTTTCAAAACCGTGTGTGGAAAACTGGCGTGTATTAGCAGAAGTCACATTATTATTATCATTATTATTATTATTTTTATTATTATAGACTACGGCGTGTGGTGCTGGGGCAGATGAGGGTGTACTGGGAGGGCTGGGGCGCTGCTGCTGTTATTGAACATACAGTGGTCTGAAGTGATCTGATAAATACTAGGCGTGGACCACATGGAGCAGCCAAATGTGTACTCATGCATGATACTGGCGGGCCTAAAATAGCAAATGGAAGTTAATATAGAGCTTTAAAGTAGTAGTTGGAGCAGCTAGAGAACGGACTATTGAAGAAATATAGGGCACAGAGTGAAAATGTTGGGGACTTGCAAGTTGTGATTTGGACTCAGTTCAGACTTGAGCCAGTATTTTTGGATTTTGAGACTTGACTTGATAAAATAGACTAAGATTTGGGCTCGACTTGGATGTGAAGGTCAGTGATTTGGGACTTTTGGGACTGTGAATTGAGAAAGACTTGATGCTTTTCCTAAAAATATATGTTTTTAAAAACTACTTTTCCCTTTAC